CTTTTTTTGGTCAATTTTTATAAAGAACATAAGAAAGTATACTGTCTCCAAAGTGGTGAATTCTTCAGTTTTATATTAATACTATGAGATTGACTTCCTATTTAATAATAGTTAAGTAAATGTCAAACTATTTGACATTCTACGTTGAGTATTTGATGTTGGAATATGTCATAGGCAAGACTTTACAGACAGGAATAATTACATTTTCAAATAAGTTCAAAAAAGAAGGCAAATTTAAAAAAGCTTTGATGACAGGTTAAAACAAACAAAAACAAATTAAAAACCTTTTGTAATATTTCTTTTAACATTGAAGTTTTTAATATCAGTGAGTCTGTAAATTCCAGTTTGCAAGTTTGTTCACTTGACTTGCTTAAAACTGACAACGAAGAAACAGACATAAAACCTGAAAATAGATCACTGATACTCTGTAAAAATAAGTGGTAAAAATAATGATAGTGTATTTATAATGAATACCGCTTTCCAGAAAAACACAAAACTGTAATTCTATTACTGCAAAGAAATGCAGACAGAATTTTAAGACAGCATTTATAATGCTCAATACTACTCAATAAGGAAAATATGTTTGCATTCATGGATTCAAATTATACATAATTTTTATATTATATGTATTTATATAATATTTATATAAAATAGATAAAAGCTTGCCTACACTGACAATAGAATCAAGGAAATATTCTGGTATTTAGGCAATAAAATTGATAAACTTTTGCACACATTTTTATATACAAACCTTCATGTGTGTATATGTGCCTTTGTACTTCTGTGAGTATATATGTGCTTATACATGCATATATAAAGTACATGTGATATATATTTACACATACATGTAAAATTTTTCATGTCTTTTTAAATATGTGAATATAAATATAAACCAAGAAAATATAAAATTAAGAAAATAAAAACAGAAGCAGGCCTATTCTAAAAAAATAATGGCAAACAAAATCTAAAAGCCAGAAAATATTGAAAGGAGAGAGTTGCACAAGAAAACTAATCAGAGAAGAAATCAAAGCAGCTTTTGAGTATGTATCATTTGATAAACTCTGAAGGTAAAATCCTAGACTACCTAAAATTAAGGTAAAGCTTCCTCTTTCATCAATAGCCTAAAAATTCCACCATTTATGCCTGTTTTCTCTGATCTGTATTGTCATTCACAGTTTGTCCTGACAAACTTAATGCCTGATATAATTGAGAAGTGAAGAATAGGAAATATGATTGAGATTCCTTTTGTTGAGATCTTGTCCAGTTACTTACAAATATACATATCCAAAATCATAAAACTGTATTAAAATTTGATTTCTTATTCATTGTCAAAATATAAATGAAAGAAGACTTAGACCATGTTACAGATTATGCTTTGCTGAATGACTACCTCATATGTCAGCCTTCTCGAATATGGGTAGGATTAATGAAACAAGAAATCATTAACATTCATCTAACTTCCATAAAAAAAACTAATAATTAAATAGATTATCGACTGAATATCCTTTGAGAATAGTATTCAGAAGAAAGTGAGCATGTGGTTGAAAATAATCATTGGGAATTTTTCTTAGTAAGAGCAAAAGTGTGATATGTAACAGAGGACTACAACTGACTCTTTAATGAGAGAGAAGTTAAATAGCTCATTATAGAAACAATGCAAGAGGAAATGGGCTACCTCTTTGTGGGAAAAATGCTCTGGAAAAGGGAAACTAGAGATAAACTAGGGCCTACAGATGTTATGGCATTACAGAGGCTTGCTTGGGGTGACAAATATTCACCACCCACATCCTGGGTGTGAATCTACAGAATCTACTCCTCCACAATTCATTCCTCAACACAATCTACCTTCCTGGCACATGCTAATAAGAGTAAACAAAGAGTGTAGCAGAATGCAGACACCACAACCAAACTCTATTGTAGTACCTGCAGAGGTGGCAACCTGATGGTACCATGCAGCTGATAAGATGCATACTAATACATAAGATATCTGGTGCTGGGCCAAAAATGGTGGCAGATCATTCCCTTTGGATGGACTTAACTTTTCTTCATTATAACCTCATTATAATACCAACACACGTCTCCTTCATGAAAGTTACCAACCTGCAAGGTATGACTACTCCTCACTGAGCATGCTCTCTAGATATTTAATTGACTTTACCTTTAAGTGAAAGTGAGAGACTTTTAAACCAATCAAGAACAAAAGTAAGTATGACTATCGACACTCAAGCTCCACTTAAAGGCAAAAAAAATACAAAAGGTGAATTAAGGAGTAAAGAAATTAGAGAGAGGATTCCATTATAACTTTTGGGATTGGTCAGCAGGCTGAACCTCTTTCCTCCTTCCAGGTTGGGATGCCACCAGTGAAGGCTCTTCAAGGTTGAGAGCTGTCTTCTTGGGAGAGTGATTTCTGTGCATTTGTACCTTAGAGCTGGCTAAGAAACCCACACTGTAGTAGAGAATTTCCTGTATGGACATATGAAAACTGCTTTATAAATGTTACATTTGAATAAATCATATTATTCCTGAACTTCATTATTTGTTTTTAAGGCAGTCAAACCTACAGTTAACAGACTGTGAATCCAGTGCTGCCGGAGTTGGGCCTATAGTTATCACAATATTTGGTATTCCTATTAAGACATGGGTCCAGCTGCCCCTAATTCCTCCAACCTCTGAGGATTGTCTGGAATGTAAAGGGATTCATCTCTTACCAAATTTGCCTCTCCTTCAGACTGCAACTCTATTGTATGAGGCAAATGGGGTGAATAAATGGAACTGTCAACATGATCCTACAGAAGAGAACAGCAACTACTATTATGAGGTAAAATTCAGTTTTAAATTCATCTAGCAGGAAATAGCAAAAGGAAATTACAGTTATTTAGAGATATTATTTTCATCATAGTAGGAGCATCCCTGATCCCCAGAAATATATCTAATATCAAAGAAAAACATAATTTTTGTCATTTTTGAGTGGCTGATAATTATAAAATAGAAATTTCTGTGCAGTAGAATCTCATTAACTACTTTGTTTCATATATAGTTCTGGAAACCAATATTCTGAAATAATTAATTACATTGATACTCTAATGAGGAGGTTAACATGCTGTGCACATTCAAGTTAATCGTGTGTATTCTGTTTAACTAATTCATGCAGAACTTACAAAAACAATTATTATTAGATCATAAATGTAATATTATCTGACATAGTCTGTATTCAGAAGTCATTACTTGTTCGTTTACCACATAGTTTAAATCATGCTGGCCAGAAGGCTGACTAGAATTTTATTTTGAAAAGTTTCTATAGTGAGAAGGAATTGCTTTTGAAGTAAAAGTTCCATTTCTGATATGTGCTAAACACTACTGTTTGGGAAAAGTAAGTGGAAAGGGAAGGGTGTGGTTTGCTGAACCAAATTTATGAAGGAGTTATGGACGAGTAAAAAGTTAACAAAAAAACTGCTGAAATGCATGAGCTCTGCTGAGCTCTGCCAACGTGCTGGACAGATGGCAGAAAAGCCTATTAAAAAAGTGTAAGTGAGAGACTTTGGGTTCTTTCCCCCCCCAAAAAAGGGAAAAGGGAAGTCCTGTGGAGGCAGGACAGTCCTGCTTTGCTAACATTTGCACAGACCCAATTCAGTAAAGAACTGATATGCTTGCAAAGTACCTGATAAAGGCCAAGCTGTCTGAAGATACTGGATACACCTTGTGAGGATGACTGTAGGACATGTCATATGATCCTTTCCAAAGGGTATAATAGACAGAGTCTAGGAGAGATGAACTGAGCAGGGATCAGGAATGACACAAGAACAACTTCTCTGGACGGACCACAATGTGAGTATCCCCTCACTCCCCATAACCTGGAACACTGGGCTAAGATCACTCCTAGCAGGGCTGGCCGAGAGGCCCCCTGTATATTCAGGGTGAAGTAACAGTATAATATTCTATTTTATTTTACTTTTATTTTTATTTCATTCTATTTTATTTTACTTTTACTTTATTTATTTCATTTATAAAAAGTGACTGATTTTGTTACTCTCCCTCGTTCTTTTAAACTGATGATAACTAAAGAACTCAACAAATATTAAAATTAATTTAATTGCTATACTGCCATAATGTGTGGATGTCATTCTGATTTGCTTATTTTGCAATATTTTCCTTAATCCCAATTACTAGCACTTCTGAATATCTCTCATATATTTCTTTCCCATCCTCTCACTGGGTAAGTTAATTCTGTAATGTTAGATTACTTATTTGAAAAAAGACTTTTCACCTTAAAGTCTATTTACTTTATTATAATTCTATTAGAATCCATCACATACATGTGTCTTCTTTTTCCAAATGAAACAGATAGAACTTCAGACTACCATACAGAATAACTTGCTTCTAAAAACTAGAAATGCTACAAAAAGATCGGCCTGAGTGCTGGTAATAAGGTGCAGACCTTCTTTAATCTTTCAGAAATTAGGGTCATAATTACAAAAATAGGTCATTGTGGAATTTTTTAATCAAATTTAATGTATTTACCTCTGCCAGCCCCATCAAAGTACTCCTATTTTAGTGGTAATTTATTCTGAGAAAAATGATTTCAATGAACATTTTATTACATAGAAATTCAACATGCTGCATGTAAAGCAAGAAGTCTTGCCTGATATGGAGCTATTTCATTACCTTCCTGATTGACTAGGGTTCCAGCATGTGATGTTCTCTGTAATAAGAATCCTACCTATATACAGAACAGCTTTTATTACTCTCATTGGTTATAGATGCTTCTTTTTTCTTTTCTAGTTTCCAAAAAAAAAGTCAGCAGCTTTTGAACATCTTTGAAACCGAGTTCTGTAGCTGACAGTCATATAAATATGTCTAACTGAGATATATAATGTTGCTGAATAAATATTGACTTTTTTTTTGCTTTTAGAGTGGAGCAAAATGATCCTATAAATGTCTCTAAAGTAAGGTCATATATGAAGTACTAAGGACAGAAGTCTATGAAACTTTGTAATGCTTACCATAAAGAAATGCCAGCATACAATACTCCTGATTAAGTTATACTATCAGGATAAATAATGTAGGTCTGGTATGCTGTTATGTCACCTCAGTTTTTCATTAATGCCCCAATGATGGGTCTGTGGACTAAATGGGCTAACACAGCAGGCTAAGATTGATACATATGTTCTCCATTAATTTAAAAACATATATTGAATTGTCTATTCCTTTTTCCAGTGCAGAGAAAATCCAGTAATTGCTTTTATTTCTGCTAGCCTCGTTGAAGCCTATTAGCATTTTATCATGATCTCGAAGGGAAGGGCTCTGGAGCGGACGCTCGTGCCGGAGCTCCTTGTCTAAAGACGAGCCACTGCGGCCCAAAGCCGCCGAGCGAGAGAACGCAGGGAGCGAGCAGCGCGAGGCAGCCCCGGCGCCGACCCCTGAGCGGGCAGCGCGGAGCCCCGKGCCCGRGGCGGCTCTGACTCAGCGGGGGCGGAGCCGGCAGCACAGGCGGGAGCTCAAAGGCCGCCCCCAGGGAGCGCGAGCGACCAGAGCGCGGCGCGGCAGTTCGCGCGGCAGTAGAGCGTGGTGCGGCAGTTCGCGCGGCAGTTCGGGCAGGCAGGGCGAGCAGGACAGGCGAGCAAGGAGGTCCCTCCCCGGCGAGCAAAAGAATCCTGCCCACAGTATCTTCCGTCAGCAGAAAGGCAGGGGAAACCATGGTGTCTGCTCGCCAGAAAACCCACGCCAGGAAGACTGTGGCAACCCAGACTGAACCGCCACAGAAGCATGCAGAGGTCCAGGTCACTACCTGCGAGGAGTGCCTGAGCTTTTCTTTGGTGCCAGGGAGWGGTGAAAACACTGCCTGCCTTAGGTGTGAGCAGGTGGAGTCCCTGCTCAGCCTGGTGGTAGAGCTGAAGGAGGAAGTAGAAAGGCTCAGGGCTATCAGGGATTGTGAGAGAGAAATAGACTGGWGGRGCTGYGTTCTGCAGTCCTCCCAGGGTATGCGCCCAGAAAACCTCCCAGTTCAACCTGAAAAAACAGCACCCTCTTGCTTCAAGGCAGAGGGAAGTGAGTTAACAAAATCTAAGGATGAACAACAAAGGAAAAGGGTCCCTGTTTGGGGGGCAGGACAAACCTTCCCCGGCCCACCCCACCCCCACCAGTGACCATGTCTAATAGATTTGAGGCCTTGGACCCTGGGGAGCAGTTAGATGAGGACGCCAACCAAGGCCCATCTAGGGGGCAGTCTGCAGAGAGAGCATCAGCTCCACGCCCGGAGGCTGCTCCCCCTAAGGAAAAAGGCGCGCTCGGAAGAAGCGGCAGGTGATTGTTATAGGTGACTCCCTGCTGCAGGGCACGGAGGCGCCCATCTGCAGACCCGACCCCTTATCCAGGGAGGTCTTCTGCTTACCAGGGGCTCGAATAAGGGATGTTACAAAGAGGCTCCTTCGGTTACTCCGAGGCACTGACTACTATCCCCTGCTTATTTTTCACGTGGGTGCTAATGATGCTATGGGGAAACTTGCCAAAATAAAGCAAGATTACAGAGCCCTAGGGGTGGCTATAAAAGAGGTGGGAGCCCAGGTAGTGTTCTCCTCCGTCCTTCCAATGAGGGGGATGGATTCAAATAGGAGAAAACGGATAGGTGAAATCAACAACTGGCTGCGCTGCTGGTGTTGGCAACAGGGTTTTGGCTTCTATGACCATAGG